AACCCTTTTCAGTTTGCCTTCTGAATTCATAAGTCTGGGAGAGAAATCCTATTTGCTTGAAGTTCATACTGTAGGGGACAAGATGAAATCATGTGTACAACTAGGATAAATATAGCAAGAGTCTTATCTAGTAAGGCTATATAACAAAAAAGAAAAAAAAGTGATGAAAGTATAACTAAATCATGTTGCATGAATCCTCACCAACTCACTATCAAAAGCTGAAACCCGATGTAATCTGACATTGCACAAAAATTGAATTTTTATTTAAAGCAAGCAAATAGCATCTTCTGAGAGGTTTGATGGAAAATTCTATATTCTAAGTATTTCAGTGTTTATCTAAATGTTACTAACTAATGAGTTATAGTGGAAATTGCATTGCCATTTTCTTCATATCAACAATGACTTTGAAAAATATTATATTCATGTTTAATCGTTTCATGAGAAGAAATAATTTCAATAGACTCATTTCCGCTACTCTCGCTCAAGAGATTTTCTAAACCGCAAGGAATAGTTTTTTTTTCCTGTAATAGAACTCCAAACTATCTTATCCAGTATATTTGCACAGTACATTTTGACTATGTGATCCTGAATTAAATAGACGCATGAGGGGGGCGCCTGGGTGGATCAGTGGGTTAAGTCTCTGCCTTCGGCTCAGGTCATGATCTCAGGGTCCTGGGATTGAGCCCCGCATCAGGCTCTCTGCTCAGCAGGGAGCCTGCTTCCCCCCTCTCTCTGCCTGCCTCTCTGCCTACTTGTGATTGCTGCCTGTCAAATAAATAAATAAAATCTTAAAAAAAAAAAAATAGACGCATGAGGTTATATTTACCCTGAACAATTTATTGGTAAATTATTCTGTGGAACAATTTTCCACAAACACATAAAAAGAACACTGTTTTGTGGGAATTGTAAAGTAAGGAATAATATTAAGGTGAGGAAGAAATTAGACATATATGTGTTTAAACTTCGAGAATGCATAGAAGAATGAAGGCACTAAGCAATGGAATTTTCATAAAATTCATTTAACAAACGTTTTTTGACTATCTGCCGTGTGTAAGGCACTGTACGCAACATGTTGGGAATACAAACATGAATTAAATAGGCCCTTGACCAAAAGCGATAGTAAGATGTGACGGTTAACTTTATATATTAACTAGGCTACGACTAGGCTATGGTGCTCTATTGTTTGGGCAAGCACCAGTCAAGATGTTGCTGTGAGGTTGTTTAGAGGTGATTAACATAATTGTTCTTTACAAAACAGATCATCTTCCATAATATGAGTGGGCCTCATCTAATAGATTAAAGGCCTTAATATTTAAGAATGAGTTTTCCCAAAGACAAAGGAATTCTTCCTAAAGATTTCCACACAGAAATCTGCTTGTTTCCAGTCTGCCTACAGATTGCTAACTCAAGGCTTCAATATGAGTTTGTGTCTGAATTTCCAGTCTATTTGCCTCATCTCTGGATTTCAGACTCCAGATTATAGCATCCACTCTTACCTGAATTTCCTGCTGGCTGTTCTCCCCTAAGGGTTTCAGACTTGCCACCCCACCCACCATCACCTGAGACAATTTCTTGTAATAAAAAAAAAGAGATAAAGACAGAGATAGATGGAGATGGGCGAAAGATAGTGATATATATATACAGATATTAATTCTATTGGTTCTGTTTCTCTGGAGAAAAATTTTCTCTTTACATAATACTCAAAAATTTCCTCAGGACATTATTTTATAATTAGAAATGTAAATCTAGAAATGTAACACCAGATAGCTTACACACTCTGAAATTGACATCTCTCTTGTGTTTAAACAGAAAATAAAATAGCTTCACATAAGAAATAATTATTTAGGAATAAAAAATAACAGAGCAATATGAAATAAAAGTTTACTTGCTGTAGTCTTTATTTCATATATATATGGACTATGTTAGTTACATGGGAAATATCTTTCTTTGTTGGTATTCATAGAATGTCTCTATAGTCTGCATTTAACAGTTGTAAGTAGGACATAGTTTTAGTTAAGTCACAATTCTCAATATTATTCCTAATGCTTTAAAAATATATATTGGTCAGCTGAAATTAATTTATCTTGCAATTTCAACATCCAAGGCAATAGAAAGGCCATAACTTAAAGAACATACATTTGGGGCACCTGGTTAGCTCAGTCAGATAAGCGGCCAACTCTTGATTTCAGCTCAGGTCACGATCTTAGTGTCATGAGATTCAGACTCATTTTGGACTCTGCCCTCAGTGGGGAGTCTGCTTGAAGATGCTCTCCCTCTCCTTCTGCCCCTCTCACCATTTATGTTGTCTCTCTCTCTCTCTAAAATGAATAAATCAGTCTTTAAAAAAATTAAAAAAGAAAACATTGATATTTGTTCTCAAAAGTACAAATCTGACGTTTCTTACTCTTTTTGCTTATTCTTCCATTAGAATATTAACTTTTTTGCAAATTTTTGTTTTATATAATATAGGTAAGCTAACATATTTTCTTTCATTTTTGCATTATGCATTCTTAGCATAAACTCATATGTAGCATGAATATAAGGTTTCTATAGGCTATGATTTGGAAAATCTGATGCAATAAATTAGTTCTTCGTAACTATCCTGGCTTTGATACACTGTTGATGTACGCTTGCAGATAAGGGGTTCTCAGGTTGAAGGAAATGAGTGAAGACTGCTATCATGGGGTTTGGTTTTCACTTCTTCAATTTTTAATTTTTAGAGAAAATCATCTATAATGTATATATGTATGTATGTAATTTCTCACTATATATAGCCAGATATATAGAGATAGATAGATATACATAATCCTATGTAATTTCTACTTTAGTTGTTTTAGGAGAAGCCTATGTATTCAAAAGCTTTAAAGAAAGAGGAATTCAAGTAAGTCATCCCTATTGTCCAGACATGTCACAGTGTCACATCAAGTTTTTCTCGCTTTTTCAGCTTTAGATTCCAAATAGTTAAATTAACTCAACCAGAGCCATCAAGAAATGTTCTGAAAAAGCACATTCTTCACCATTTGCATTGAACCAAATTACATAACATTTGTTATTACAAATAACAACTCTGGAATTGCAGAGTACTGGTTAATTGTTTAATTCCAGTACTCTGGAAGAAAATTCTTTGTCTTTAAATTCGCAAATCAAATTCATGAGGTGACAGTTTTCCTATGAATAATATGGGTTTCACAGATTATCTTATTAGTTAGTAACTGAAGTTTCAAGCTCTGTGATATGACCAACACATCTGTGTCAGCTATAAAACTGCTGGTCCTGTAAGACTCAGAGATATATTCTCCTACAAAATTATTTTACTTTGATTCGAATCATTTTGATGCTACATTTCCTATATCTGTGAATTAGCCCAGATTTTTCATCCATAATGCTTTTATGAAAATATGAATGTGGTATAAAATTGTATGATTTGCTTTATCACAAGCAAATATTTATATTTTCATATATACATTTATTTATTTACATACACATATGTACTTTATTCAAGATGGTCTCAGTTATATGGTTATAAAACAAAACAAAATTATATGTGCAATTTAAAATATTATGACTTATTAAACCATAACTTAGCAAAAATGATAATAATTCCATTTAGCAATTTATATTATAACAAATATTTTAAATTAAAAATGGTTTCATTTGTTTTTATTTTATTATTTTATTTTATTTTATCTTAAAGATTTGTTTATTTAAGAGACAGTGAGAGAGAGCACATGAGCATACATCAGCGTGGGGAAGGGCAGAGGGTGAGAACCTTCAAGCAGACTTCCTGCTTAGTGAAGAGCCCAGCATGGGGCTCCATCTCATGACCCATGAGATCATGACTGCGAAAAACAAGAGTTGGATGTTTAACTGACTGAGCCACCCATGCACTCCAAAATGGTTTCATTTCTTTTAAACAATCATAGACATATTGAGTTAAATTATTTCCTTTATTTCAAGTAAGAGGTCTTTTTGCTATAAAATATCTGGAGGGTAGCTGGACTATTTTATTTCACCCATATACTTTTTTTCTTCTTATTTTAGGGCATAGATTTAAGGTATAAATTGTTGTCTCCATCTAACAATATACAACAACAGTGGCTAGGTTGAAAATAGGACTTCAAAGTAAGAAATCTAAATAATGACATTAAATATTTATTTTACTCATATCTCATGGCCATACCAACCTTAAAAATGAGTATCAAGAGAGGGTCCATGATGAGGTCTACCAATATCTTATCTTATATGGGGTGTTTGGTGCATTTCCAAATGTGTATGGGAACACATAAATAACATAGATGATTTAATATTATATATTTTGGTGTATACATGTTTATGGGGAGAGATACATATAGTTATGATAATATAAAAATAATTATAATTTATTATCATCTTATTAAAATATAGTCTCTATATAATCTATATAATCAATACCCATTTTGTTAAATATCATTTTATTTTCTGAATTCATACCAATATTTTACAGAAAAAAAAATCTTTCTGGATGGGTAAGGTACACATAAATAAATAAAAAAAAACTAATGTTTTGTATATAAATCTAAAGTATTCATTCCATTGAGACCTCATAAAAATGAGATGAAAAATAAAAAGAAATCTATCTTTATAAAGCAACTAATAGACCTCCAATTTCCCATCAGATTATTTGCATGCTGTTTTCTTTCATTTTGTTAAAGTAACCATTGCCTACCAAAATGTAAAACATCCTAAATTAAGGAGTAGGTAAACTTACTACACTGTGTTCATCCTACATATTTCACTTCTATTGTCTTTCTTTAATTAGAACAAGTAATTAGGAATCCACAACATATCACTTTTCTTCCTCAAATATTAAACTTGCATAGAATAACAGCCCTTATCCCAGTTTTAATATTCTCCTCCCCAAACATCTCATATATGCATGGATTTCCTTGTGTTTCTGAAATGTAATTCTACTTAACAAAAACTGCCCCATAAAACTGCAAAGAAAGTTTTTAAATACTTGCCTGAAATCCAAGGAGCTTTTCACTAGGCTTAATGTGCCTCTGAAATTCACATTCTATGGGTTGTATCACTTTGATTCCATCTTCATAAAAAACATAGAACATGTTTCCAATTCCCAGACCTTAGGAATAAAAACACATTCAAAGTTCAAAATAAAATTATCAGAAATCTTTACAACCCAAACTCAGTGTTCCTCATAATACCAGCAGGAGATCGATTTGTAAAGTTGTGTAATGTTAATAAAGCAAACCATATGAAGCCTTTACCGTTCACCAAAGCAACTTTCTGATATTATGCAGATATTCTACTTTATTCTCCCTAATCTGCAATTCAGTGATTTCTTTAATATAATTCAATAAATATTTCAGAAAAAAATGAAAATAATAAACTCTCTGATACATAATTATGTCTGAGACCATCCCCCACTTAATTTAAGAGTTAAGGAATAAAAATATTTTTTGAAGAATTATATTTACTGTATATTTTTTTAAAGATTTTATTTATTTATTTGACAGACAAAGATCACAAGTAGGCAGAGAGGCAGGCAGAGAGAGAGAGGAGGAAGCAGGCTCCGTGCTGAGCAGAGCGCCCGATGTGAGGCTCGATGTGGGGCTCGATCCCAAGACCCTGGGACCATGACCCGAGCTGAAGGCAGACGCTTTAACCCACTGAGCCACCCAGGCGCCCCTATTTACTGCATATTTTTATTAGAGTTCCTTAGGGAAAATAGATTTTCACTCTTTGTAGAAATATAGTTTACATAAAGACTGTTAAAAACAGAAGACCAAGCCCTCCAGATTTTGAAGAATATATATTTTCCAAAATAGCTTTTGTAAATATAATCCTACATAGAGGTCTTATATTTCAGCTTTATACCAACAAAGTTTAGGATCCATTTCTATACTTTAAAACTTGAATTAATTTACGGTCTTAGAAAAATCTGAATGAATGATTTAAATCATACTTCTAATTTTGTTCACACTACAAATCTGGGTGTATGGTATCTCAGAAATTCATCTCACTTACTTTTTCAAGCCACATGTAATGGGTGCAGGATGCTACAAATTTGACACCTGGAATGCAGTTGGTGTTAACTGATGCCTGCACCTGGGGATCTTCATTTATTCCACCTGTTTTCTATGTCTCTTCTGGTTCTGCTTTGTTCCAACATGGCCAGACCTAAGTGTATACAGTCCCTTCCTTTTCTGATCCTCACTTGATCCTTTGCCTGGCTGTACTGGTTTGTACAATCATATTTGTTCAGTCTAACTATAGTATACACAACTGAATGATAGCATGTGTTCTTTAAAAGATAAGTAATGGTATTCGAATCTTGGTAGTTTGAAAAGCCAAACCATTGCTGCTTAAAAGATTTAAATTCTGAAAATTCAATAAAAAGAAAGAATTTACTTAAATACAAAAAATTCCCCAATTTTCCCCAAGTATGATTTTCATTTTGATTGATAATACCTGCAAGGTTTAGTAAGTCAACTCTGAGGACCACGATAAATGTGTACTGATTCATAAAAATATTTGATTATTCAATTTAAACCATATTTATTCTTATTAAATATGGGCCTAGTTAACACAAAAGTCTCCAATTTTGTCCATTGAGTCATATATCCATCTATATTTATGATTTAGAGGGAAATGTATTTAAGTATAGTTATGACTTTGTTGATGTTTATACATAGTGGTTATAATTTTCTTTTAGCACATGAAATTATTTCCATCTAATATGCTTATGCGTTTTAAGTGACTCCAGATTGTTTTGACACATCTTATTGTTTTATAAATATTCTATATTACTCATAGTTTAAAACATGCAATCTTTATCAGTTAATTACATACTATAGTTCCAGGGAGCACTACATTATGATGGAATATTCCTGAACAACAGAAGTGGCAAAAACAAATTCAAGTCTTATTTTTCAAAAAAATAAATTTAGTAGTTGTCAGCTCTTATTTATTATTATAATTATGCATCAAGGAATATAAGTTCTATCCCAAAGGATAAAACTTTTAAAATGTCAGTTTTTATTCAAAAACAATTGATTCTTATCACCAAGCTTCCATGTCAACATTAACATAGGACTGACATGTGCTACATGTCAGTGACTCTCAATTTAACATTATTGGTTGTTGAAACTTGGGAACATGACCAGGTCTCAATGTGGTGCTAGTTTTCAGCTGTGCCAGTTACACACCCATGTTTGATGATTATTACAAAGCTCCTAAAATTTTTAGTGAACATGACTCTCCCTCCCTTCAGCTGCTGCAAAATTTTGCTCCCCAATTAGGAATTCGAATGTGTTTGAACCTGACAAATACTCTAAGTCCAGACTTTTTGCAGTATGGTGAAATATTTCTGCCCTTATTCAAATGGATACTTTCATTATGTTATTTACCATAATATGTAAAAACTACAGTCAGTGGGATTCCACTGCATGGTTTCACTGATGAAATTTCTGAGCTGTATTTTCCTCTAAAACCCATTTAATCCATCCAAATCACTTGTTCAAATCTGAAGTCTATTTTCTTACTTTTTATATGAGTTACACATTCAGCATTTTTATGAAGCATGAACTACTTTCCAGATTACAGGTTATTGAAGAAATACAGATTTCATTACGTAAGGTTTACTTTGTTTTTGAACCTTATTTTTTCCAGTGGAAATATAGTTTTTCAGTGTTGATGAATAGTAATGACAACAAAATACCATGTCTAAATATATTAGGTAAAATAATAATTATAAAATAAGTAACTATTTTTAGTCAATCTGCTATGAATTAAAATTTTATGTATACCCTTAGAGCCATCTATGAGTTCCTCATCTCTCTACCCACAAAACACATGTTTACACTTTTTTTTTTTTGGGGGGGGGGGCTAGGGAGTTGTTGTGTGTTTTTTTTTTAAAGATTTTATTTATTCATTTGAGAAAGAGAGAAAAAATAAGCATGAACAGGGGAAGGGAAAGGGCAGAGGGAGAAATAGACTCCCCTCTGAGCAGGGAGCCCATAGGGGACCCTGGGATCATGACCTGAGCCAAAGGCAGATACTTAACTGACTGAGCCACACAAGTGCCCCTTGGCTAGAGAGATTTTTTAAATCAAGTTTTCTGTGGGTTTTAGCAGCAGAATTTATGATCTGAATATATGCTACAAAAGTGCTTCTTTTTAAATTTACTGCCATATAAATAATTACACTGGGCACATAATAATATAAATTACCTGATAATGAAAATGTTGGAAATTAAAGACACATGTAGATTTTCATTTGGAGCATTCATTAACTTTACTTACAAACAAAATAATAATGTCTTTGTGTATGCTCACTATAACTGTTATGTTCCCATGTCTGAAATATTTTTTTTTTTTTTAAATGGGAGAATGTTACAGAGAGATAAACTCCATTCTCTGGGTTTGAACAGCTCAGAGGCCAATCATGGCTCTAGAACTTTGTTGTGCCATGGGAAAGTTATTCAGTCTATGTCATAATTTCCCCATCACAAGTTTGTAGTTAATAATTATATCATACAGCTATTGTAAGAATCAAATTTGATGGAGAAAGTAAAACATTTAGCAGAGTGACTGGCACATAGTAAAATTTTCAAAAAAATGGTACTGTCACTATTTTTATGACTGACATTATCTTTCCTTTTAAACATTAGTAGAAAAAAAATGATGTAATGGTATATAACCAGATTTTGGTTTCTGTTTCCACGTTTTCCTCAAATCTATACTGTGAGATATATTGCTACATTTCAGTTTTCTATGATCTTTTTTTTTTTCTATGATTGTTTTCTTTTTTTTTTTTTTTTAGATTTTATTTATTTATTTGACAGAGATCACAAGTAGGCAGAGAGGCAGGCAGAGAGAGAGAGGAGGAAGCAGGCTCCCTGCCACACAAAGAGCCTGATGCGGGGCTCAATCCCAGGACCCTGGGATCATGACCTGAGCCGAAGGCAGAGGCTTTAACCCACTGAGCCACCCAGGTGCCCCTATGATTCAGTTTTCTATTGCCACATTTCATATTCTATGAATCTATTAGCCTGCTAAAAGATCAACTTCATGTTTATAAAAAAATAAATTTAAAAAAAGATCAGTTTCATATGCTAGTAGGCAATTCTCATAGTTGATCCTTTCAGAGGGTCTGCAAAGTCAAAATAATTTTCATAATAATACTAAGGTGTTATTTGCATTTTTCTCTTTCATTCTCACTAATTAGATTCTTCCAAATGTAGAGTGTACCTTTGACAGGCTACATGACATATGATGTAATGAGTGATATCACAACAATTCATTGAATAAGCAGATATAGGCATCCAGCATCTTCTATTCAATCAGACATTAAAAAGATTTTCAAAAATACAAAGCAATGTGAATCTCTTCATTTTTAAAAAAAAATATAGCTTGAAAACTGTGCTATTTATGGGTACTTATAAATGAATTTATTATGGTTATTTTCAATGAATTAATAAATATCTGTAATTTTTACTTTTATTTTTAATATGGTAAATATAGGTAAACAAATAAACAAACAAACAAATAAACATAAACTTTCAAGTTCTCAGTAATTTTGAAGAATGCAGAGGGGTTCTGAGTCCCAAAAAGTTTAAACCATGTAGGTTTCAATTACAGTTCTCTCCTTCTTCATGCATTGTATTGCAGGATATTACAAAAGTTCCTGGCTTCAGTTAAAAGCTTCACCACTCTCATCACAGTAAGAATCAGCAATATGTGCTGCCTCTAGTTTCTTTTTTCATCGCCGGTGAAGACAGACACACATACTTAGTCTTTTCCAGGTCGACTGTTAATCTAATGGAGTATAGTGGCTCCAGAAAGTGATCCCTAATTTGTTTGTTCCTTGTGAGCTTTCTTTTTGCTTTTTCTTTCTCTACAGAGAAAGGATGCAAGCAAGAATTACTTGCAGTCTTGTAAGAGGGAAGTATTTCCCAGAGGATTTTCTAATCAATACTGAAGCTTTAAATACGTGAAATGGTCTGAGAAAAATGTATGTAATGCACATGTCTGTCTCAATCCTTTAGGACAGTTGTTCATGAATAACAGCATATTGTGATAATACAATGATGTTATATCTTCTATTTAGCACATATATTACATAATTTGTATTAGTGATGAAATTCGGTTAATTTCTGATTACTGGATGGAAAACAATAACAAAAGAAAGTTAATAATATATTTTGTGGTGATGTTTGTCTTCCTCTGATCTAAATTGCTATTGATTTAAGATTTAAGTTGTGGTCAAGAGCAAAGTATAATCATATGATGCAGTGATTTGGTAATCAGTCAAAGATAATTCAATAAATTTTAGTCTTATAAAGTCCTTTATTAGTTGATTTTATTCTTTTCACTTTTAAGAGATCCTAAACTCATTTTTTTTTTGAAATCTGTAAAAAAAAAATCTCTTTTTCTAGCTAAAGAAAAATGTAGGCAAAAGTAGATAGTCCATATTGCGTTTCTCATCTTGAATAATTTAGCAGAGGAAATATTGTTGGTTAATGAATATCCCCATGTTTTGTTTCTTTGTCTTTACACACAAAGTAGCATCATTCCACTGCACCTCAATAAGATCTTTATATTATGTTCAACTAAAATAAAACTTACTATTTCATTCTTGCTAGAAAGTGAATGGTTGTCTCAAGCTCTTTACTAGTCACTATTAATCCAGAAATTGGGTACTATTTGCCTGGTCAGAGTGATATTACCTAAAACCAGTCCTTTTGAGTCAGTATATCATTTCCTGAACTTCCAAAGATATGCTGAAAAAGCTGAATGCAAATCTGCATTGTTAATTTCACATTTAACAAATAACATAGCAAAGGTTATAACATAATAGAGTATTTGTGCTATATAATTAATGTTAGATGGAATCATATATAAAATTATATATGTATTCATATGTGTATGCATGTATGTATGTATATATAGATCTAGCATGTATATATACATATTTATGTGCATGTATATACACACATATCTGCAAATATGTATCTCTTGCCAGATCACAATTTTGATTTGAAAATTGTTTTAATGGAAGAATATAGAAAACTAAAAATGTTAGGTTGATGTTATTATTTAAAGCAATGAGAGCGGACTGGCTAATGAAAATACCAAGAACTTGATTACGATTTAATTGACATCATATACTGACCATTAGAAGACATGGTCTCTACCTCTCCAGAATGCTATAACTTTCTAAGTTTGATGCATTCAGAAGCCTACACTCTGAAAATTTCTTTTTTATTTTAAATAACTCATCAATATTACTGTGAGTCAGTAATCTGGTCCTGAGAACCTCAGCATTATTTTTCTCTAAAAATAAGTTTATGAGAAACTTATGGAACTCACAAAGCTGGTTTATATTAGTCCTAACCTCCCTTGCAATGTAGAATAGTCTGGCCAATGAAATGTGAGTAATTTCAGGATGAAGAAGTTAAAAGATGACCTACTTGCCATATCCCCTTTGCCCCACTTTGATGACATTATAGATCACAAAGTTAATCAGATTATGGTTTAATATGTACGTCTTGTTTTAAGATTTCCCTGCAATTTCTATTTGCATTTTGTATTGGTAGGTGTAAATGAGCCTGACTAACATAATGTTTACCTCAATCATTTCTATATTTTCATGTGAATAGATTCGTAAATATTTACAAAGAATAGAAGAGGCATTCAATTTTTATAAACACAGAAATTTTTTTTTTTGGCTTTCAAATCATTAGTCATAACCATCCAGTTTTTCCCAAAATAGACTTTATTCAATATTTATCCTAAAGATATTCATCAAAATAATTCCATGTTATAACAAATTTAGGAAATGTTATGCTATATAGTGAACCATCTTACATCTCTCCTTGGAACTGAATATTTAAAAGTTAAGATTAATTCATCAGTGAGTAAAATGGCTTAAAGTTCTTTAATTTGGTGTTTATCTAAATCAAAACATGTGTTATTAAGTTAGACCATATAACATATTCCTTAACTGTTGTCCACTAAATAAACTTTAAGATGTATTTCATTAGATTATATTTTATTACAAGATTATAAAAAATATTGTAGAAGGAAACCAAATAGTGGATCTTTTAATGTGTATTTTGAACTCATATAGTAAAATTAGTTATCAGTAAGAATGATTAAGATTTTAACTTACTAAATCAAAATTTTCTTTAAGGAAGATATTCCTATCTTTATAATTCCAGTATTTTCAAAGTGCTTTACATTTAAAGGGCTCTTTAAAATATTTGTCAATAAATAAGTGACATGTTTCCTTTCTTAACAATGTCTTTCCACACACCTGCAAACCACAATGATGACTAGAAAAGAACTGGAAGAACCCAGAGAAGTAGAGGACACTGTGTTTCAAGCTTAAAAATCCATATGATTCCTAAGATAATACATATTAAATTCAGTAACATCGATTTAGATTACAAAATCCTGGCTAAGCTAGATTCTGATGCTCATGTTTAAAAAATAATTTTTCAGCTAAACAAAATTTCATGGTTTTAATACTTGCATATAAGTACAATGGCAATATAAGAGGTTTATAATTTTTAACTCTCTTTCCAAGATTTATCTTAGAATGTCTGAGATTGGGATGCCACTGCTGGGATAAATTTCTCTTGGCCATGGTAAAGAGCGAAGCATGCAAACAGAAAATGTTATTATGGCAGAGATAAAAATAGATCTTGGAATTATGCAGTTCATCCTTGTTACTATTCTGTCTATTAAAAGTAAAGGTAAAAAATTTTTGGAAACTTTAGTTAGCTATTAGTTTAATTACTTTTTATGAAATAATTGTATACACTGTTAAGATTTAGTGATTCCTCAAGCAGCTCTATTATCTCTGGCTACCATTACTATTATTATATGTAATCATTTCTAATTGTAATGCCTCGCCAATAAGTGTGGCATTGTAAAACAATAATTTACAGATGCCTATGAATCTAAATCAAGCATACTGTTTTCTCAAGTATATTATGTTAAATCTTGTTTATTCTAAGACACAACAAAGGACCCTGATGATAATTGCACAGGAAATAAAAGATTAAAAACTTTACCCAAAGACATTCATTATATATGTCTTAAACTTATCTACAAAATATACTAAATAATGATTATTTCTCAAGGACATATTCTCTGTCAAACAAAGTTATGAAGAGTAAGCAAATCTTTAATTAATGGAGATGATGGAGAATAATTATTGAGAGTATACATGTTGAAAAAACTAACAGAAAAAAATATTAAATAGATAAAAATAGTTTCATGTAATGAATCTCAGGGCGATTCTAATTAATCTGGAGATCTCATATTTTTAAAGGTAGCCTGAATAATATATAATTATTACATATTAAAATTGTACAATAGTAGGCACCCCTCTAGGATGGATTATGAGGCAATATTTTGATGCTTACCAGAACAGTAATGGCGACTTATTACATTTACTTCTAAAAATTTATCTAAAGTATGTGAGTGCCTGGTGAAACACATTCTCCCCAGTCTTCACAAATAAGAAAAAAAAAATAATAATAAATGGAAGTGGATACTGTTTATAGAATGTAGTCTATATTTAAGGAACTGGTAGCAGCCCTACTGAGTATAAACGACTATCCTTATTTTTAAGATAACCAAATTGAGACATAAAGAGGCCTCAGTTATACAGTGGTGGAGACTAGATTTGAAATTAAGTCCTTCAAGTTTACAACCCATTTTCTTAAATAATTTATTACCTTCCCTTGACAAGGCAATGGTTTTTAAAGTTTTTTTTTTTTCCCTAATCTAAATCAAGGTTTATTATGGAAGTTATGTTTAAGTTTGCTTTTATTTCTTTGACTTAATTTTAAATTCTTAAAAGCATTTCAATATGTTATAATGTACTTTACTGATTATACATCAATAATAAATCTAACTGATAAAAAGTATTAAATATCTCTAATGGTATCAGGTCTAAAAAAGATCAATTTACAATCAAACAAAAATATTGAGTCAACATAAAATTGAATAAGATAATTATTAAAACTGATATTCAACAAATCTACTAAAATTAGGCAAAATAATCACAATATAAAAATAATGTAATTTAGTACCTTCTTCTCTCCATAATATGTTAGCTACTGCAGCATGTTAAAGGAAAAGGAGAGAAAGAAAAATGAATAAATAGAGCTTCAATTGCATAATAATATAAATAACTATTAAAGAGGTCACAATCCCTAGGATAGAACATGTACATAAAAGTGGTGATGGTGAATTCAACAAACTACTTTGAATTAATAAAACAGCAAAATTCTGATACTAGCTAATAATGCTCTTTTCATTTCTTAAAATTGCCAATTCTTAGGAATAAAGATTTTTGTTAATAAACAAAGAACATTTTATGCATCACTGGAAAGAATGGGATATTTAGTTTATGTTATTAAAATACATCTTTAGAACAAACACTAGTAGTTAAAACTATTTATTTAAGACAGTATGGTTAAAAGTTGTTAACTAAAAAAAAATTTTAAATTCTCAGTAATCACAATATGCAATATTCTTATACAATATGCAATATTCCTGAGCAAGAAGAGTTGTTTAAATAAAGGATTTTGAACACAGACATAACTTATTTTTAAGTAATATATGTTTTCATTTTTTAAACCAGACAATGAAATGCATCTAAATATATCTTGTGTAGTTCAATGCACAATAATGATTCATATTAAATTGATTCTGGACAATGGTTATATTAAATACTATGTAGAGATTAAATCAATAGAGTTAAAATATTGAGATAGAAATAAAGAAAAAAATACCAATTAGAAATATTCTCAGAGAAGTGTCTGCCTCCATTACTAATTCAAATTCACCCAAATTCTGTTTTCAGAGCAAAATAATATACCAAGAGAAAGTGTAACTGAAACAAAATCTCATCTAAGTATACCCTGAGTATTTTAACCATATTAAAAGCACAATCACTTTTTTTTTTTTTAACTGAACCCCTGATGAATGAAACAGAGCCAAGTCTACAGTCCAAAGTTCCTAGTTGGAGGCTGAAGGCCCACATATCCAGTTTCAAAAACTGCTAAACATTTAAAAAATATTTTTTTGTAAAATGACATTCATCCCTTCAAAACATTTTGTGGTGCTGTTCTTGTTGTCTACAGTGTTCTTGAAATGAATATGAAAATGATAGATCTATTTGCTAGGAAAGGACACAGACCTCAGTTATCAGCAGTTAACCTCGGTCTGGAAGTAGATGATCCTGTTCCTAAAGTTTCATCAGAATGTCAATAGTAGTCACAGTGCCTATGTCATTCACTTCATCTCATCACAGGGGCATTTTATCATCTCACATCATCACAAGAAGAAAGGTAAGTACAGTACAATGAGAGAGAGAGAGAGTATATTCACATAACATTTATTATAGCATATTATTATAATTATTTTTATTAGTTATTATGGTCAATATTTTACGGTGCCTAATTTATAAAATAAAATTTATCATAGGTATGTATGTATAAGAAAAAAAAAACAGCATATATGGAGTGTAGTACATAAGTAGTTTCATGTATCCACTAGGGTCTTAGAACATATTCTCCGCCTGAGGGGGAACTACTATATTCAGAGAAATTTAAGTAATTGAGTATGTCTGAGAGAAAAACTGATAGAAGATGGGGTCAGAGAATTTTTCCATGAGTAGATTAAGAAAGTCTTTTGTACACAATGCAGAAGAAAGTAAATTTTCCTCTGTAGGTTCAGGAAAGGCTGGGCCATGACTTCTCTCTCTCTCTCTCTCTCTTTTTTTTTTCTGTTTTATTAAAAAAAGAAATGCAACAGATATATGTTTCCTCATATCTCCATTCATTTGCTTAGGGAGTGAGCCACCTACTATGTGTCAGACATTGCATTAAGTGATATAATACACAGATTATGTAGGCCCATTCTCTCTGTTAATAGAGTTTATATTCTAATTGAGAAAAAATATTATTCACCACACGACAGAGAAAAATTTTTAAATTACACATTTAATGGGTTATAAAAGAGAGGAACAGTACTGGGAAGGCTTTTAGCAGGTGAATTAAACATAGAGCAGTACCAAAGGTGAAGGATACAAGATGAATTAGAGTGAACCAAGTGAGAATTGTAAGGATAGGTTTCTAGAGAGAAGAAAAAGCCTGCACAAACCTTAATGGTATACCAAAGCCCTGCCAGTTTAAAGGAGTTAAAGACAAAGATATTTTCAAGATAGGCAATCATTTATGGGAAAGTAGCAAAAAATACATAGTTTGTGATATTGACATCAAACAAGGTAAAATTCAAAGCACTTTATATTGAAATTAATATTATATAAACTAAAACCATCATATTAAAATATGAAGCAAAAGCTATTAGGACTGGATACAAATTGATAAATCCACAATCATATTTTATTTTGTTACCTTATCACTCTCAGTATTTGAAAAAGTAAAAGAAAAAAGACAAAGTTTAAATAATATAATTATTAAGACTGAATTAGTAGTTTCATAATGAGTGTTGTACTATACAAACAGAACGTTGAACTATAAAAACATAAGTGTTTTTCAGATTTTCTGGAAAAATTTTCAAGAGTGGTCACAAAGTAAACTATAAAATGAAAAGTCTTTCTCTATTTTGTAGGTATATTCTAATCAGCATAGTTTAAACATTTTCAGACAATAAAATAAATATGAAAATCCATGAAATGTGTTTAAACACACAAAATTCTTCCACAAATTATTTTTTTTAATCAAATATGGGGTACCTGGTTGGTGCAGTAGGTTAATGTCCAACTCTTGGTTTTGGCTCTGATCTCAGAGTTGTGAGATGGAACCCCACATCATGCTCCACACTCCGTGCAGAGTCTGCTTAAGAGTCTCTCCCTCTCCCTCTTCACCTCCCCACTGATCTCTCTTTCTCTCTCTCTCTCTCTCTCTCTCTCACTCTCTGCCTAAAATAAATAAATAAAATCTTTAAAAATAACTAAATAATAAAATATGACTATGATTCATGTAAGACAACAAAAATGAATATTCAATATGTGGACCTAAAGAGTTTTGGCCAAGAGATAAAACAGAGATTTGATTGATGCATTATTGAGCAAAATAGAAAGAGGAAAAATGATAGAGAGAAAGCAGAAGTGGAACCAAAACCAGGAGGAAGAAAAAAGGGAAAGAAATGGAGAGACAAGGAAGATAGAAGGAATGACTATAGCTATGATTTTAAATTAATGTAGGTTTTTTTGTATTTTCAAGTTTTTATTTAATTTACAGTTATTTAGGGGCTCCTGAGTGGCTCAGTGGGTTAAACCTCTGCCTTCAGCTCGGGTCATGATCTCAGGGTTCTGGGATTGAGACCTGCATCGGACTTTCTGCTCAGAAGGGAGCCTGCTTCCCCCTCTCTCTCTCTGCCTGCCTCTCTGTCTACTTGTGATCTCTGTCAAATAAATAAATAAAATCTTTTAAAAAATTATAGTTATTTAATATACAGTATAATATTAGTTTCTGGAGTAGAATTTAGTGATTCATCACTTTACTGTAGAATTTTTGCTAATAAATTTTGTAAGCCTGATTTCACTCAAAAAAATTCAAAGAAATATAAATATCCAAACTGAAGTGAAGAAAAAAATGAATAAAAATAACCATTGTACTGATTGAAACATTTTTTTAATTTAAATTCAGTTAATTAATGTATAGTATATTATTAGTTTCAGAGCTAGAGTTTAGTGATTTATCAGTATTATATAATACCCAGTGCTCATTATATTATGTGCTGTCCTTAATGTCCATCACCAGTTACCCTATCCCTCCACTGCTCTCCCCTCCAGCAACAGTTTTTTCCCCTATGATTAAGAGTCTCTTATGGTTCGTCTCCCTCTGATTGTGTCTTGTTTTATTTCTTCCTCCCTTCCCTTATGACCCTGTCTTGTCTCTTAAATTCCACATATGAGTAAGGTCATATAATTGTCTTTCTATGATTGATTTTTTTCTCTAGCATAATACCCTCTAGTTCCATCCATGTTGTTGCAAAAATAAAGATTTCTTTTTTGATGGCTGATTAATATCCCATTGTCTATACATACCACATCTTCTTTATCCATTCATCTGTCGATGGACATCTCTGTTTTTTTCCAGTTTGGCTATTGTGAACATAGCTGCAGTAAGCATTGGGGTGCAGGTGCCCCTCCAGATCCCTACATTTGTATCTTTGGGGTAAATACCTAGTAGTGCAATTGCTAGGTCATAGGGTAGCTCTATTTTCAACTTTTTGAGGAACCTCCATAATGTTTTCCAGAGTGTTATATCAGCTTGCATTCCCACCAACAGCATAAAAGTGTTCCCTTTTCTCTGCATCCTCACCCACACTTGTTGCTTTTTGTCTTCTTAATTTTGGCCATTCTGACTTGTGTAAGGTGGTATCTCATTGTAGTCTGGGTTTGTATTTCCCTGATACCAAGTGATACTGAGCATTTTTTCATGTGTCTGTACATTTGTATGTATTCTTTGAAAAATGTCTGTTCATGCCTTCTGCCCATTCTTGATTTGGTTATTTGTTCTTTGGGTGTTGAATTTGATAAGTTCTTCAGAGATTATGGATACCAGTCCTTTATTTGATATGCCACTTGCAAATATCTTCTCCCATTCTGTCAACTGTCTTTTGGTTTTGTCAATTGTTTTCTTTGCTATGCAAAAGTTTTTGTCTTGATGAAGTCCCAATATTTCATTTTTGCCTTTATTTCCCTTGCCTTTAGAAGCATGCCTAGTAAGAATTTGCTGCAGCTGAGGTCACAGAGGTTGCAGCCTGTATTTTCCTTTACAATTTTGATGGATTCCTGTCTCACATTTAGATCTTTAATCCATTTTGAGTCCATTTTGTGTATGGTGTAAGAAAATGGTCTAGTTTCATTTTTTCTGCAAGTGGCTGTCCAATTTTCCCAGGACCATTTGTTGAAGAGACTGTCTTTTTCCTATTGGATATTCTTTCCTGCTTTGTCAAAGATTACTTGACCATAGAGTTGAGGGTCCACTTCGGGTTCTCTATTCTGTTCCATTGATTGATGTGTTTTTGCCCCAGTACCATACTGTCTTGATAATTACAGCTTTGTAATAGAGCTTGAAAT